TGAAGTTACCCTAAAAAATGCACCTCAGGAACCCGCCCCTTCAAAGAACCCCTTCGGAATAGTCGAATTTAGGGTACTTTACTACAGTCCCACAGGTTTTGCTACCTCCCGCGACAGGAATTTTTTAGAGATTCAACCATGACCCGTGCCTTTAAGATCTCACTCTTGTGAATATAATCACAATGATCATCATAATACTGAGAGTAAGGAGGAGCGTGGATGTTACCGTAGTAAAAAAATAGAATATATGTGGAAGATGTCGCTCTTGATGAACTCTCAGTTCGCAATGCAAGCGCTCCTAAAGGCAGTGATTGAGGGGTTGCGTATCGGGAAGTATATCCGCCTCTGGAGGCGATGGCCATGCGGCAGAAGAGGCAAGGTGTGGCTTTCTTAAAGCGAAAGATACGCTAGTTAGTATTGTGGCTTCAAATTTAATTCCCGCATGGCCTGAAAACCGTTCCGCCCATACTGTGACAGTAACAGGATCGTTAGCTTACCATTTTGGAAAGCACTTCAGCGCACTCCACTCCAACTTGTCTATATAATTTGTTATCAATCAAAAAAATGTTTGTGGCATTATGTCGTCTATACAGGGTAACTCGTCCAAATGGCCTCTTTCCTGACGCTAGCTCGTCCATAATGGTAAATCAACAAGCAAACAAAGAGATCCGACACTGCGCATTTTTGACTGATTTCTCGCCCCTGATGCTCCATTTAGCACCTTTATAAATGAACCCTTCCTCTCCTTAGCCCCCCCCCCCTTACCAGAGCCTATTCGCTGCTTACTCTGGAAGCTCCGGTATTTCTATAATGGAAAGAAAGGAGAGCAAGAATTCGAGACAGACGCTCAGACACGGACGACGCAAGGGGGGGGAGGTACCGAGGCCCATCACGCTAATTGGGTCGCGGAGAAGGCTATACAAGATCGCAGGGAGCATATCTTTCGATTCGATTGCGTGTCGTACGCAGGTCCGCCTATGCACTAGGTAAGTTTGCCCTTCTTTCACCTTCCTCCTTACCGCGAAATCTCCCATAAGAAGGTGGTGACATTTGACTACAATTTGGTTGGTACAGTGGTATAAATATGGGAGGGACAGCCTATTCACAGGGTTTTTGCCATTTAAAACGAGTTCACCGCCAATTGACGAGCTACGAGGTGATGCGGTAAAAGACTCACCTACGTGTAGTACGCAGTTTCAGTCCTCTCCTTGTTCATGGCATATCAAAGGAAATGTTTGATAAACTTTCAGACTGCATCGGTCATTTCTGCCCGCCTGGAAGTTTCTGTGATGAAAGAATAGGTCCATGCAAAACTCCGCCTTGTCGACCGATCCTCCTCTGTCTTCCAGACCAGTACAACGGTAAGCCGATTCTTCAGCCGGGTCCCGAAGGGTATCGTTTATTCTCTTCCAATTTCTTCTCGTAAACTACCAAATATTCTCTTCCAGGCTGTGCTCGACATTCTTGCCCAAGCGGCGAGATATGTGTCGAGAGAGTCCGACCTTGTATTAGCAAGTCGTGCAAGAAGATCCCCTCCTGTGCAAAACCTGGAAGTAAGTCTTAGTAATTGCAAGTTTCCCAGATCTTGGAGAAAGGGACGGCCCGTTGGGTTCATAAGCAGACGAGGGAACAGGTATAGCTTACAGCTACAAATTATCTTGGAATACATCAGAAATTCGAATATTTCGAGGGTATAGAAATCGATGAATCGCCCCCCCTCTCCACACGCAAGAGGGCTAAAATTCGTTCTGTAATTTCAGCTTGTGACGCGTTAGTATGTCCTCCATCGCAGAAGTGTGTGGCCGAGCCTCAACCAAAATGTGTGAAGCATATTCCGACTGTGACAAGTGTCATCGGCGGTGCCCAACTGGCTCCTGGCCAATGACCTCCTTCGGTCAGCAACACTCAAGAACGATTTCCACTGTAAACATTTCAATAAACGTTTTAACGGCTGTTCGGCAGACGGTTTTGTTCTTTTGCTGGCGAAACATGTTAATTAAGTAGTATGTATTCCATGATTTAATCTTTATCAGTCTAACGTTTCCGCATCTTCGCCTTCGTCCGAGCCTGAAATGGTCAAAAGGAAACGGAACTTACAAACGCCTCAACAAAAAAAACCAGACTCCTCCACTAGTTTAGGAAACTTTCAAAGGTGCTGATTCATTGAGGCCTGGGAGTGCTTTCCTTAAAGGCAAAGTTCGGGCTCAGACCCACCTAAGAAGCCCTTACCATGGCTAGAAGTGCTGGGTACGCAAGTGCAAAGGTAGCGCCACCTTTCTACATCGAAACGCGTCACTAGGACCCTAGGCGCCATGGACTTCTAACAGACTCCACCAAACTTAACATGGTCCGCCCACCGTTCGATATCTTGTCTGCGTCGCCACGTTGACTATGCTCTCTCTTCTCGGACTTCTCTACAGGGTCAACCGCCCGTTGCGCAAAGAACAACGAGGGGGTCGTATTCGGCCGAACGAAAAGGGGAGGGGGTCGTATCCAGAAAGACGGGGCTGCAAGGGGCTTGAAAAGTGCAGTGTCCGGCAGTGCACTTTCACGCTCTAATGTTCTCCAGGAGCTCTGCACAGTGCAGCTGTCGGAGAGTCACACAGACAAGAGCTCCATGGGAGCATTAGAGCATGCAAAGCGTTATGTCTCACAATCATCCGTTATTATCCTAATACACGGACGGCGCTTTCGCTCGACAGCATAGATCAAGATCACAATAGCCAAAAAACTTTGTTACAGCGTAGTGCAAAAACATGGTCTGTCTTCGATGATCGAACATTCCTGAAATCCCAAGGAGAACAAAGTGTAGAGCAGTTCATGGGGAAGTGAAACAAGAGTACCATATAACAGTACAATGCAACTCAGTCGTACTAACACCTTCTTCAGGAAAATGGAGGACTTTCAAATGCGAGTGCGACTTCTGTCCACAGACAGGTGCACGGCGTATACCCGAGCAGGCGTTTTCCCATAAAAACGCCTTCTCTGTCAGCGGCCGTAAGCAGACAAACTTTCTGAAGAGAGTTTCGATGCTTTCAAATAAATCTAAGCGAAACAAAGTGTAGCGAATTTGCTGAATTGAGTTCTAGAGACGCCGTAGGAAAATTGAGGCAGAAGAAGAATTTTTCAGAAGAAAACTTTTACACACTTTTATCAAAGTGCTCTTTCGCGTAGATTCTAACAGTCTTTACCGCTTCTCATCATATTAAATTTTGAAGGAAGTTATGGGCCTTTGAAAGACTGCATAGTCGCGGTCCAGGAAAATGGCTTGAAAAAATCAAAGGTGGAAAAAACGGAACGGAACAACGGATTATTTTTGAGCGAGTGATTATTTGAAAAGTTTTAGCAACTTATTAAGCTCTAATCTCTCTAGTTCCTTCTCAGCCTTAGACATCTGCAAAAAGTTGATTATGAAGAAATTTATGAACGTTTGAATGTCGAAAACTCGCATGTGCACAAAAAACGGAATTAAAGGGAGGATTTTTTGAAGGATTGAACATACGTAACATTCCAATACTTTTTAGGAAGAAGAACTATTTGATTTTTAAAATTTTGGTGTCCGGTTCCATGAGACCGCTTCTGAAGAAAAATATAACCTTCTGAATGGAGGGGTTTGGATTGCAACGTAATTGCTACAAGGTTTAGTTTTTCAGATTATAAAATAAGGAAAATTGAGAGATCGAAAAAAAACTTGGTAGGTTTCTGAAAGTAGAAATCTTTGTGATTATTATCATGTATTGGTTTACGCGCAAAATTTGGAAATTCCTTCTATTTAATGAATAAAACTTCATGTTGCCTCGATTCCCTCCTCTGAGCGAGACAGAGCGCGCGGATTGACCACGGTCCACCACTTCTCCATGTTGGTGACTGCCCACACATCAATGATGAGCATTAAATTATGTGAAACACATAGTAATACGGGGGGGGGTCGTACCGATACCCTCCGAAAAGGAAGGGGGTCGTAAAAATTTTGGAATTTGCGCAACGCAGGGTTGACCCTGCCGGTATGAGAGAACATGGCGCTGCTATGCGCCGGAGAAGGGGTATAAGGAGGTATAACACATTCAATAGTGAGGTGGTTAATGGAGTACATCATGCTGCCATTCCGTGGTTCCTCCCTACCCTGGGCGCGCGCAGCGGCGGAGCAAACCTGGTATGTCAAAATCAGTCAATTTGCACGTCGCATGATAGCTCGCACTTTGAGACAAAAGGCAAGAGCTTATTCGTAATCGACGGACATTCGTTTCGGCCGTTCATTCCAGGTTTCCTTGCGAAAATCCAGAATGATTCCAAAGCTTTTCTGGATGAAGATCTGACGGGACTGTTGCTTATATCGAGTCCTTATGCATTGGGAACATGTCACCGAATTTGATACTACTCATTAGGATTTTCATTGCGCTGGATCAATCACCTTGCCTCAGTCAATCACCTTTGCTTGAACTTTGTCCACCTTAGTTTTTACTCTTTCTCTCTTGACCAATTGAAGTGCCCGCTTACTAGAAGCAGCTAGTTGCTATATTCAAGCGGGGTGGCACAAGCACATGCTTTTCACGCATGTCAAGTGACTGCCCTCACCCCCCACCACCCCCTAGATTGGCTACACTCCCCCTGGCTCACGAACTCCCCAATTCTCGTGACAGTATAGTAGCGAGCAGCAGTCCCACTGACATACATTTCTGTTCAAAAAATGCGGCGTGCCCACCTAACTTGTATAGGGCAACGGCATCTACTCGGACTACTTGGACTTGGGTTTTGCCCCTACAACATTCCACGCCTACCGTACTCAAAGAATTTAGCCGCCACCTCACTAGTATTGAACCCTAAAGCCTCAGGAATCTCTGTAGAGGTGTTCAACTAAACTCGCTCTACATCTCTGGTGTTTCTTTATTCTTTGTCAACATGCATTGAGTTGTCGCAAAAGTTTTGTCAGTTGGATACAAAAATCGGAATGTGGATTTATTAGGGTTGTCTCATAAATAGTGTCGCTTTTCTTCAGCCATAAAAATTTCACCTGAATCCCCACGCTTTTACATGGAGTCATATACCATTCGAAAGAGAATTGTCTGCTCTACAAGAATATGTGTTCTTCTTCCATCTATGTTCCATGGTTTTCAAATTTTAGGCCTGCGAAATGGGAGGTCCCGCCGACAAAAATTGACCAAACCGACAACTAGCTCTAACTTTATTTTCCCTTCGGAGAAATCAATCAATGATGTACCCTCTACTTACTCATGACCTCTTCTGAACATTCCACCCTTAGGTTGCCGAAAAAGGTTTGCCCTGTTTCTTTTCGAATTGGCCGACCGATAAGCCATGGCAATTTTCAAATTGAAATTCTTCCTCTGAAACGCTATTGTTATATCAACTGGTGTATCTTTTGTGAGCACTTCTTCTGCTCTATTCGCTCATTTGTTTTGTTTTAATGTTTCTCAGGAATTAGCTCGAATTTTAGGTGTTTAGGAGTAAGGTGCTTTATCCACGAAAGTGACCGCATTTCTTTGAAAAAAATTATCCCTGAGATGATGAAAATCAACCAGGCGTACATTCCTAACTTAGTCATGACTTGCTCTTTAAATTCTACCAGTTTTTCAATGTCTCGGCTATAAAAAAATTTTTATTTTCGAAAACCCCAAGATCTCAGGTAACGGTGCTTGAACGTCGAGTTCTGGTTGAAAAACTAGGCCTGAAAATGGAATGACGCGATTTGTTGGGAAGCCCAATAGTGTGATGTTAGAAGAGGTCATGCATAAGTAGAGGGCACAGTATTGATTGATTTCTCTCAAAGGGAGATAAAGTTAGAGATAGTTGTCGGTTTGGTCATTTTTTGTCGGCTGGACCTCCCATTTCGCAGGCCTAAAATTTGAAAACCATGGAATGTAGATGGAAGATGAACACAACGTCTTGTAGAGCAGACAATTCTCTTTCGAATGGTATATGAACACGCTGTAAAAGCATGGGGATTTAGATGAAAATTTTTTGGTTGAAAAAAGCGACACTACTTTATGAGACAACCTAATAGAATTTCAGTTCTGTTATATTTTGTGCAGAATTTTCTTACTCAACTTCTATTATGTAACACAAGCTTGCGCTCGCTCAGTACCTTCTCCAAGATCGTTCTAGGATTATTCTTCTATGATCAAATTGAATCGTAAATCTGAAACTTGATCCACGGAAACTTGAGTTAGGAAATTGATTTGTGGAGGTGGAGGTGGTTTAATGACAAGTGGCGCCAATCAGCACGCGCCCGGTCCGGGGGGGGGGTCAAATATCGAATCCAGTCTCCCCAGATCAACCAAAATTTCATGTTCTTCCGTGGTCGGACGACCAGATATTTGTCTGAGAGTAACCGCACATCAAGTTTTCACACAAGTCATTGTAGCTAAAGGCCCAACGCATTAAATGCTACTGGAGATCCCTAAAGCAGTCGGGTACGCTGGCGCATCTCAAAAATGAATTTGGGTCGATTACTGTAAGTTTGCACTTTTTTTCTAGTATGTTGATCTTATGTACCTGTCAATAATAAATTATGGTGCTGATAACCATGTCTGCCTAAGCTGAATGTGAAGACAAAATTTCCGCTGCATCCTTTTTCAATATATCAACGCGTGGAGCTACCCAGAGTGGCCAGCAGCCAGGTCACAACCCGTTCGTTCGCCATTGTTCGAAACGGGGGGTCGGCATCAGTCGGCATTTGCGCGCTTCTGGGTGATTCAGGGGCGCAGGCCATAGACACGTCAACAAAAGTTGCCGTTTCACCTGTGTATACTCCCCCACGCGCCCAATCGACGTCTGTTCTTGGAGTAAAGAGTAGTGGTGGAGTTTCAGGAGTGGTTTCCGGCAGTTTTCAGGTAAGTTTTGGGCTGTGTCAACTGGTCTCAGAATCAA